AGTTAGTGCCAGCTTAAGTGCTAATGATTACTATCATCGTGTGATCATTCTGAAATTTTGAAGATGTTTCTCAGACTTCATTCTGCTATGAGGTATAAATGAAGCATGAAATTTATGAAGGAAGATCATTCATGTGTGCAACCTCATACTCTCACCTTCGAGTAATTCATTTATTTATTCAGAGGGGAAAAATTATACAAAAGTTCAGATTACTTTAGAGGAAGACCTTTTTCCTAGCACAGGTGTTTTACAAGCAGCATATGTTTGACAGCTTTTGAACTTTTATGATGTTTTCACTGTGAATACAAAAGAACCAAAACACTGACATTTGTTTCTTTAAAGTCTCACAAATTTATTTTCACAAGACACATGAAATATTTATGCCAAGTTATTTCCACCACAAAAATCAATAAGCCATTGTTGGTCAAGGTCAGACAGCAATTTCCATCTATAGCTGAACGTTATCAAGCTTGCTGTGAAGGAAATGATTCTCCTCCCAATCTAATTCAGTATTCTTTGGCTCATCTTTACATCAAGTTTCAGGATAAAGTCACTTCCAAGTAGGCTTTTGTGGGAAACTATATTATCTTCTATGTTCTGATAAGTCAGGTGAGTTCACTCTAACTGAAGTACAAAGTTTCTAAGGGTGGCTGAAAGGAACTAAAGTTCTGTACATGTGAAACTGAGAGAGTGCACTAGTTCTCCAGAAGGAAAGGAGAGTCCCATATATAATGAGCTGAAGTCCATAAAATCGAGACACATTCTGCCATACAGGGTATCACAGTAGAACATCTCTTAGAAGCAAGGGTTTCAATGACAGACCTTACTGGCCTAAAGTGACCCTATGAGAAGAAAAATCAATAGACAAGAAAGGTCAAATGTGACAATTTTTTTTCAAGCAGAGTGTAAGTAATACTATACAAGTTGTAGGAAATGTGTCAACCAACAGGGCTTTTAAAACTGAAAGGGAGAGAGACACCATACTGAGTATAATTGCCTGTATTTTCTTTTTTGAACAAAATGGATTTGCAGATAGAACAACAATAAAGAAAAAACCCCGAGAAAAGAGTAATCATCACTATGCTAAGAAAGAATGATTTTCATATTTTTATTCTATATTTATAATTTTTTAAATCTGGCTATATTTTCTAAAATAAAAAATAAATTATTTTTCTCTTAAATTATGGATTTTTTTAGGTGGATAAGGACAGCCATCCAATTGCAGATAAGGGACAATCAAGGATATTATCTACAGGTACCTAAAACGTCCCATTAGACTCAAGACCCTCAAGGATGCGACCTTATATTATGATTCCTTCAAACCCCTGAACACTATTGACACAGGGCCTAAATATAAGTTGGTATATTAAGAAATGTTAGCGAATGAATTTGTTTGTGGTCAAAAACACAAAGTAGGGAGCCGTGGTATAACCTCAGGCAGATGCAAAAGGAAATGAAGTGGTGACTTTACTCGCAAGCACTTGGCCAGGATTTTGAAAAGACATTATTTCCAAAATGGTCTCCTTATAAGGGATATGCCAATATCCCTATAGATAAAATAATTCATATTATACCTTCAAGTCCCTTGCCACTAAACTCTTCAATAAGTTCTTTTTACTACTTTACCTCCCTCCCTCCCATGACTCAGGCTGATTTGCCCAGATCTTTTTCTGAAAGAAGCTGTAAAGACCATCACCACAACGTCCCACCAGTGTTACTAGTCGCAATGTCCAGGACACTCCAATACTTTAAGAGAACCACTGGACAGGTCCGTTTCTGATATCAGTGTCATTAAAATAGTTCCTTCTCAAGAAGATAAAAGGGACGGTGATGAAGAAGAAGAAAAAAAGATGTCATAAAATAGCTACTTCTTAGAGCATTTTAATTTTATGAGTACCAGGAATCTTGAACCTGATCTTTTAGTTTTCTGCTGGAAGCCGAAACCAAATTCTCCAACCCTTCTTTAGAGACTTTGCAGGACCTTAGAACATGCGTGTCTGTAAGCTATCTTCTCCTTTCATCATTTTTCCCTCCATCTACCATCAACTCGTTTTATCTTTTTTAAAATTCTTGATTTTTTTAGCTTAAATAAAAATCTTAATATTTTTTAACTTGGGAAAAGGCATGGTAGAAACAATCAAGGCACTAAAAATTAAACACACTCTCCTCACCCCACTCCCTTGGTGCCAATTCAGGCTCACTTCAGATAGTTCACCCCTGCAACTTACATGCAAGACAAGAAACAAAGCACAACACCACTGTCCTCGCTGCTACCAACCAGGGAGACCATTATGTACATTTATGACAAGAAAGTGTAACTGAGGACCAGAGGCATTGGTCCTGCCCACCAGATCTGAAATGCACATCCATGCCTATAAAGGGTTACACTACTACTTAAGAGTCGAGGCTCTGGAGCCAAGCTACCTGTGTTCTAGAACCGAGGCCACCCCAGACAGCTGCTGAACCCAAGAAACCACTCAATCATTTTGAAACTTGCCTTGATGTCCCCACCTGTGCAGCTGAAACAATAGTGATACTGACCTCATAGGCTTGTGGTGAGAAGAAATGAGTTAATACATATAAAAGTGATTAGATCAGGCCCTGGCACACAGTAAATGTAGGCCAGAACTATAATAGGCCAGTTCTGTTTTCAATCAAGAGCTAGGTCACACAAAGCTTCAAATCTGACTGAAATTAATGGTTCTCATTGTAAACCGGTACATCCACAAATTATTTCAGTGGTGACCTTGAGTTTGCATGTCATTTATATATGTAAGTGTGGAGTCAGAGTTCTCTCTAATCAGGAGTCATTTTCAACCAATTGCTTTCTGGCTTACTGAACCGAAGGAGAAAGCAGTGGTGTCAGACAATAAAAAATGGCTCCTGGGAGAGTATTCCAAATTGGTAATCATCTGATGGTTAAATGACTTGGGGTAAATGCACACAAATGCTCATGACGTGGATATCCCTCCAGCTGCAGTACAGATATGTAACACCTAGAGAGATGAAAAAAATCTCCTGAGGAGTTTCACTAATCAAAGAACAACTGGGTTTGTTGGATACTTGAGGTCCTGATTTACCTGAGGGTAGAAATCTGCCACCTACTGTACACACACTTAAAATGAAAATTCCTCATCAAATTCCACCTCCACAGGCGCCCAGTGCTAGCCACACCCCACCTTTGCTCCAGGCAGAGCCAGACTGACAGCAATTTTTCACACCAAGATTTAATTCTTCAGTGCCTGTCTCACCCGTGGTATGTAAACATTTTTCAAAAAATAACTTGAAAATGCCATTTTCTGATAGCGAAGGAAGAAAACCCAAGCATCACCCAACTTATCCGACTTCATAAAAGACTGGAAAAAAGTGACTGAAACTCTACTCCTTGTAAAAAAGGTTATTTCGAAATTTGACATAAAAGGATAAACGTCAGTCTGCGCTATAATGAAGTTACACGAGAGAATGGATGGAGAAAAAAAACCTAAGTGTACATCAGTCATTTATCTTCCCATTCCTACGAGAGTCTTGTAATTACCTATCCAAATGAAGGCACGAAAGTTACATTTCTGAAGTCAAATAAGTAACCCCTTGTAAATTCTTTTCTCAGTTCCACAGAAAATATTCTTAGAGTCGAAAATGAATAAGGGCTATCGGCTAAGAAGAGTGCTTTGAGGAACTTGGTGATTTTACCCTCTCCAGTTAAAGCCAAATTATTAAGGGAGCAGAGGAAAGGACTTGAAACGCCTGATAAAGTGACACTTCCGAATCGTACTCTGGCCGAGATTACTCTGCGTCAGCCCAGAGCTTTCTCGCCGAGAGCTGGAGCAGTTTTATAGAAGTTCCTCTCAAGATCCCGGGTCAATTTTAAAAGCTGCTGTTACTTTCAAAAGTCCCAAAGGAGCCTTCGCTCGCCCACCCCACCCAGCAAGCAGCGAGCGCACTTCCCGTTCTCTCCCGCGGGTCAAGAACTCTAGTTGTCTGTTATACACACGGAAAAAAAAAAAGAGGAAGTGGCTAAAGAGGCAATTTCAAGACATAATCTTTTTTTAGAAGGAGACCCTATTTTCCAGGAAAGCTTCCATGGTAGGTACCCCCGACACTCGCTGGAAAGTTGCAACGAATGACAATGTTGCAAAAGCGAGATTGACGCCCCTTCAAAAATAAAAAATGTTGAAATCCTCGAAATCCTCTTGCTATTCAAAAACGATTCCTCCTCTGAGCCAACGCAACAAAGCTAGCAACTCCCAGCCTAGGGTTCAGATCTCCAAAGCGAGGCTGGGGTGATAGCTACGTCCAGCTCTCCTTTGCCAACTAGCAGGGGACGCGCAGGGCAGAGGTGGCGAGGGGACTCCACGCGTACCAATCTTACCTGGTTTGACCGGTTTAGGTGGCGGCTTCGACATCTTGCTTCCTGGAGTGGCTGATCCTAAAGACCACGCACAAAAGCCTACCGATCTCCCCACGAGCCGGCACTCCCTGAGCCCCCAAGTTTCTTTTTGTCTGGTTTACAGCCGTGAGCCTTCAACGACCTGCGCCCACCCTCGGCTTCTTGCTGAGCGGACGCAGGCAGCCCGGCTCCACTCAGATGTCCGCCCCGCCCCGCGGCAGCCCGGACGGTCCGAGCGCGCGACACCAAGGATGAGGAAGTGGACGCCGCCTTGCCGAGCGCTAATTGGCTGCGGGACGAGCTGCTTGTCCCCCCGCTGGAGCGCGGGTAGCGCGCACGGCGGCGCGCGCGGCGGCGGCGGAACCCGTCAGCCCCGAGCGGGGGCGCCCCTGGCTCGTGCCGGGCTGGAACGGGCCCGACCGTGCAGGGACGCGCGCGTGAGGCTACGCTCGCCGGAGCCCCGCCCCGGCCCGCAGGGACCCCGGCGTGCCGGGTCGGCCCTGGTTGCGGCGGGAACCTTCCTGGAGATAGCACCTGCGTTGCTGGTGACCCGACGGGAGCGCGGGGCTAGGGACGGTGGGCCTCAGTTAAGCCAGCTTTGGGGTTTGCGGCCAGGGAGTGACAGGCGTGCACTTGGGCTGCGCCTCTGCCGCTTTGCGTGCGAGGACTCGAACGAGTGCCTGGTGAGTATCCGACTGACCCTGCCGCGCAGCCTCGTTCGAGGTATTTCGCTCCTTCCTGTTCCCGTGCTGGAGTCGGATCCCAGTTGGGTCTTGTAAACTCCGTTGGGCATAGTACCCTAAAAACGGGCTGAAACCTGACCTGGAAAAGGGTACTGTTGAGGGCGTAGGCTTTCACGGCCCATAATCTTTAAAATGGGAGTCTACCCCTAAGAACCGTACAGAACCATACAGGTTGTTGGAGAAGGCACCAGGACAAGGTCAGTTCTTGGGGCCCAAGGGAGGAGAAAGTCTTATATTCCTTAGCACTGGAAGTGACAAACTTCCACCCTCCCCACCCACCCACCCCCGGTTTTGTAAAGCCTGCTTATCGAGAAATGTTTTTACATTTTTAAATGCCGAACAATCAAAAAATATTTTGTGGCACATAAATATGATATGAAATTCAAATTTCAGTTTCCATAAAGTTTGATTAGCACACAGCCATGTCTATTGGCTTATTTATTATCTGTGACCACTCTCACTTCACAGCACCAAGGAGGTTTGTCTTCCCCTTAGCTAATAGATTGAGTCCTCAGTGGGAGACAGTTGCTGGCACACAAGAAATGCTGCGTGCATAAGAGGAAAGAGCAATCTCTGTTATTATGTTAAGAGAAATAAGAATTGAAAAGAAAACATTACATAACCTGTATAAGATGAAACTTCAAAATTTTTACTGGGATTCCTGAAAGGATTGATGCCAAGGGGAAGGAACATGGATTGTTTATTCACAAATTACAGCCTCAGAGATCGTTTACCAAGAGGGAGCAAAGTCCAATCAATTGTAGGAAGAGATTTCCCTAAAGCATGGAAGATGACAATGAAAATATCTCTTGGACTGATATGTACAAATGCCATGATGCTCTTGAGGTGCATTAAAAAACACGTTTAGTTAGCATGGTATCTCTCAGAGAGTGACTGCCTTCTTTATGATCTGATTCTGTACATGCCTCCTCTGACCTTTTGTAGTTTAGAATATGAATTAAAAAAAAAAAACCTAATGATGGAAAAAGCACTACAGATCATGCTTCTCAGGGTTAAAAAAATACATCAAACAGGCCCTCCCTGGTGGTGCAGCGGGTTAAAGCACTGCACAAAGAAGTTTAAGCCACTTTCGCATGAGTTCGATCCCCGCCTGCCCGGAGGTGACCACATGGCGCGGCAGACCTCTCCTGGCCGGCCTGCTGCTCCCCTCAGCAATGTACTTTGTCCATCTGCCTGTTCTGCTCCCCACTCTGTCCCTGGTGAATCTTCTCACCCTCCACATCTCTGGCCTGTATCCCAGTTCTGTATGAACAAATAAATAAATCTTAAAAAAAAAAAATCAAACAACTTAATCACGTACTCATTTGGGGTCTGCACTTAGCTGTCATAGTCTGTTCTTCCCCTGTGCTAGTACTCTGCTGTTAAGAAAAGTTTGCACTTACTGAAAGAAAGACTAAAGTCCATAAATATCCTATGAGATTGGAGTACATACTCCTAGTAATAGGATACCCTGGATTGACGAAGCTGGAACGTCCAAATGGTTGTCTCTCCAGAGACAGCCAATAATTTTGTTTGTAGATGATGAAGTTTGTGTTTTTGTCTTTTTTTTTTTTTTGAAGTCTGTTGCTTGCACACCTTTGGAGCCTGGGAACCTGTGGTTGCAAAATTCTAAATTTGTGATTTTGAAATAGTTTTTAAACATGGCAACAAGCAATGAAATAATAGAACATGGTGTAGAGGTGCCCAATGCAAGACCTGAATTGCATCCAACAGAGTTTTGGAAATAAATGACTTCCAAGATGGTTATGTCCAGTCCCCACCCCAGTAACATGGCCTTGTCTCAAGTCTAGCTTTTTTGATTCCCACCTCTCCCATGACATTGTCGCCTGCTCGTTGCTAATGGACTATGCCCAATATTTACTCAAGTGCTGTCTTGAGCAGGCTATGATATCCATATAACAAAGAATCGAAGGCTCCTGCTATAGTAAAATTTGTATTTAACTGTGGGAATTTGCTCCTAAGCACAAGGGATTGTATCAGGTTCTTGACTTTCTTGAGTTTCCACCCAGGTAATCTCCTCAAGGCTACTTCCAATGCCATGACCACATTCAATTGTTTACATGCTCTGTTATTCAGTATCCCAAGGTATATGCACAGAGCTGACAGGAAACATAGTACTCCTTGCCATTCAGTGTGCACAACAAATAAGCAGGCGTGTGTGTATAGAGGTACACACCATCAGTAACACATCAATGAAAAAGACAGCAGTTATACATGAGGTTCACAGTTAACCAGCATATGTGCAACATCTTTTATTTGTTCTTGGTGATGAAATACTTTCTAGCAACTTGAAAAAACAGAAAACAATTAATGTGCTTGGTTTAGTTTCCATTCTGGCTATTCGGTTTACCAGTTGTGTGACTTTGGTCAAGTTTCTCCACTGTTTGGGCCAGTTTAGGCTTGTACAAAGGGAAGAGGCAGACCAAGTGAACCACAAAACTATACTTCTCCAGGCTTGAGAGTAAGTAGACCAAGGAATGACAATGTTTTATAAGTGTTGATTTTGGTGTTTGTTTGTTTGTTTTTTGCCAACTGAGGACGTTAGTCCACTATATTACTGCCAAATTAATTTCAGAGGAATAAGGACCTCACCAAAGCAATGAAAACAAATATCAACTCAGTATAAAAGGCAGGCAGTCTTTCCTATTCCATAAAGAGGTAGTTGGCCGCTTTGCACTGACATTAAAAATAAGAGTAGGAGTTGCAAACTAGTACAACCAATAGTTTGGAGGAAAGCTGTTTGGAGGTTTCTCACACTGCTAAAAATGGAGCTTCCATATGACCCAGCAATCCCACTCCTAGGTTATCTATCCAAAAGACAGAAACACTGATTCAAAAAGAAACCTGCACCCCCATGCTTATTGCTGCTTTATTTACAAAAGGAAAGACATGGAATCAACCCAAATGCCCAAAAGTAGATGACTGGATTAAAAAGACGTGGTACTTATATACAATGGAATATTACTCAGCAATCAAAAAGAAAACACATGACTTTTGCAGCAACATGGATGGATCTGGAAGGGATCATGCTTAGTGAAATAAGCCAGAAAGGAAAAAAAAATAGCAGATGGTTGTACTCATAGCAGGAGCATAAAGGACCAGGGAGAAAAAAATATTAATAATGAATAACTATGTACCAGAGACATTTTACGTGGGTGGTGTGGGGAATGAGATCAAAAATAGAGGGGAGTGCATGGGATTATGGTGATGGCATACAGGTGATTTGGTGATGGGAAGCCCACGGGGATTACAATTGAGATGGGAAAAGGCACAAAATGATGTAAAAATAGGCAGTTATAATAATAAAAAAAAGTAGGAGAAAATAAACTCAAAAGCGGAAAAATTTATTTTACAATACATATTTTATCAGTTGTTCCCCAATAAACAATTGTCAATTTAGATGGAGGTATAGCTCATCCAAAAAGTGCAAGTTAAATGAAGTCAGATTCCCAACGTGCTGTTACTTGATTTTTATCATTGGGTTATCCACCTTCTATAAAAGACATCCACACTGTATGTGGCTTCTCCTTGCCACTTTGAATTGTTGTCTTGTGTAGGCTTATTAATGAAAGTGGAACAGAACCTTAAGCAATACATTCAGTTTGGGATATTTTGATCTCCCCATCACCTCCCTCCTGGAGAAGTCTGGATACAGGTCAGGATAGATAGGGCAAGGCTGCTGGAAGTTCCCAGCTCAGGGGCCACTCCAAGGTACAACTTAGATTCCTAAATTGCCCAACTGGAATAGTTGGGGATAACCTTTGGGATGCCTGTTTTACAGTTCCCTGCCCCTAAGCTACCACTCACTTAAAATGAAAATGGTCCACTGGGATATCTTCAGGTGGGTCTTGGGGCCTTACGCAAACCTGTCTTTTCTCCCTTGATCACTGGGTCAATAAATAAAACCTTCAGGGAACATTTGCAGTCTGTTTCATGATCTGGAACATGAACTTTGAATTCAGTAAGGGAAATGTTAATCTCAACAGAAAACAGGAATATCAGGGTAGCATAATTGGGTGCGGTAACAAACACATGAGGGGGGGAGCCTGTACCTGTAAATCACATATAGTGCTGAAAACCAGCATTTTTTCAATTAAAAACAACTCACATTAGAGGAGGAAAAAATAAGGAATTCATTCTTCTCATTAATGTAGGCATTGCCACACACACACACACACACACAAATTCTACTCAATTATTGGCAGATTTTAAAAAATTACGGAAATTTGCTTTCTCATTCTATGAGTACCTACATAATAGGGTTGATTTCACACACAGCAGTGGAGAGTGACAGTGAAAGCCAGTATATTGTGTGGAACTCGTGTGGATAAGTAATCTGTGGCATAAACTGGAGATTTTAGTCATCTTTCCCCCTCACCTGGTCCTCTGAATTAGAACTTTCTTTTGTCTTTTTAATCACCTAAATGACATGCATTCAATTTTTTTTTTTTAATTTTAGGAAGACGTGGTTTTCAAAGTTAATAATGAAAACATTTGTCATTGGAATCAGCGGGTGAGTAATTGTGCTACAAACAGGTGGTCAATATGCTCACATGTTCAAAGCTGTTTTCTTAGGGACATGGTAAGAAGAGAAGCAGCAATGATTCCTGAGTCTTGGAAAACAGTGGAATGTTGGCTACATAAATTCCAACAGGGTGATGGGAGAGTTCCCTCTAAAGAGAGAAACACGGAGGGGCAGTAAAGAGTTTACCTGCTGTACCGTTTACTTCTGGAACTGGTACTACAGGATAAGTGTGATCAGACACTTCTGCTTTGGGGTGATTTATCATTTTCCATATGGCTGCTCCTTCAGCAGGAAGTAGTAGAAAATATCTTTTCTTTCCTGACATGCCCAGTTTTAGACATTTAAATAACTTTTTTTTTTAAATATTTATTTATTTGTACATACAGAACTGGGGTACAGGCCAGAGGCTCAGGGGCGGTGAGAGGCTTCACCAGAGACAGAGTGGGGAGCAGAACAGGCAGAGCGAGGAAGTACACTGCTGAGGGGAGCAGCGGGCGGGTCAGGAGAGGTCTGCCACGCCATGTGGTCACCTCCGGGCAGGCGGGAATCGAACTCATGTGGAAGTGGCTTTTGCTTCTCAGTGCAGTGCTTTAGCCCGCTGCGCCACCAGGGAGGGCCCCATTTAAATAATTTTTAAAAATATTTATTTATGCATACAAGAACTGGGGTACAGGTCAAAAGTGCAAGGGATGAGAGGACTCACCAGAGACAGAGTGGGGAACAGAACAGGCAGTTTGACTGAAATACACTGCTGAGGGAGGCAGTGGATGAGATGGGAGAGGTCTGCTTCACCATTTGGATCAGCTCCCTGGCCTAGGATTGAACTCGTGCTGCTGTGGCTGCGGAGAGCTTCATAGTGCTGTGCTTTAACCTGCACCACCAGGGAGGCCCCAGTTTTAGACATTTGAATATGGAACAACCTCACCTCACTCCTTTTCCCCCATACATAGGGAGACCTTAGATCCTGAGCCAGTCTCTATTGCTCTGGCATAATTACTAGTAGCATGCCCTTCCCCTCCTCAAAAGTGTTCTAAATTTTATTGCCACTCTACCTAACATACTAGGGGGCATGCAAAAAAGACATCAACAACTCAAGAGGACATTATTTGTTTTATGTTCATCTCTTTTCTGAGTACATCTACCTTGTCTGTGGTACAATTAATTTAAAAATTTAAGACTTAAAATGAAAGCTTTGTGATTTGGGAGAGATCATTTTATTATTATATTGTTAAAGTGTTAAATGACAGAACTTCATCATGTCTTGCTGCCATCTACTCAGAACCAAAATTCAGTATTGCACTGTATTGCTTCTCTTGTCTAGTCCCTCCTCTCCACACTCAACTACCACTGTCCTAATTCAGGCCCTCCAGTTTCCCGGTCCCCTGTAATCTTTCCACATCCTTCTACCAGTTTAAACTGTACAAACGTTTTAAATTATTGTCTCACTTGCTGAACAATATTCCCTGATTCCCAGTTATCTAGAATGACATTGGAATTTCCCGGTACCATCCTTAAACAATAAAGGAAATTATTAGCTTCAGGAGTCGATAGGTTGCAGGAAAGACTTGGTACAGGGCCTCGGTGGTGTCACCAAAGACTCAGTTTCTCTTAGTCTCTTCTCGCGTCTTCCTCCATTGGATTCGATGTGGAGTTGGCTCTTTTTTTTTTTTTAATGTGACTACCAGCAGATCCTGGAACTTTTAAAAAAAAAAAAAAAAAAGATTTTTTTTATGCATACAGAACTGGGGTACAGGCCAGAGGTGCAGGGGCAGTGAGAGAAATCACCAAAGACAGAGCAGAAAGCAGATCAGGCTGACTGACGAAGTACACTGCTGAGGGGAGCAGCAGGCGAGGTCTGCTGTGCCATGTGGTCACCTCCGCGGTTGGATCGAACTCACTGAGGCGCTGTGGCCAGCTCGCCGGGCTGCCTGCGGCCAGCTCGCGGGGCTGCCTGCGGCCAGCTCGCCGTGCCACTAAGGGAGGGCCAGCTCCTGGGACTTTTTAACTGATCTGTAACTAGAGGAAAAAGTATTTCTCTTCCCCTGGTCTTGGGTCTCACATACCTACAGTCACTGTTGCAAAATCTATGGGTTTTCTTAATTGGTTACATCACAGTTGAGGGTAGGCTCAGTCCTAAGCAGAAGTCAGAAGGAATGGAATTTGGGGAAGCATCTATCATGTTCACTGTAGGATCCACCCAACTTTCATTTTTCATGTGTGGATATTAGTACCCTTTTCCTAATATTCCAGTTTGATGCCTTCTGCCTAGAAACCTGCCTCATGCTTTCTTGCCAATGCATTAGGGACTCCCCATAACTCCCTAGGAAGCCTCTGCAGCACTGTCTCTTCCTCCATAGGTGTCAGGATTTCATTTGAGTGTAGCTACTGCTGCTGACTCATTGAAGCTTTTGCAGAGTCAGTTGCCATGACCTCCACCCCTGCCTTTATTCCTCCCTCCCCACTCACTGTATTGTGTATTTCTTGTGTACTTACCACACAGGTTTGTGACTTGCTTGTATGAAGTAATGTTCCAATTGAGACTGCAAGGAATAGTAGAGATTCCTAAAGGAGTCAAGGAACATCTGTGAACCTCCTAAAAATTTAGTGCATGTTCATATGTTAGGGGAATGATTTTATAACATACACCATCAGAATCTTACAGTGTTCATGATGCTAAGAAATGTAAGCTTCATTGGTGTTGGAGTTAGACTTTGTATTTCATTTCCATTATTTGCTAGTTGCTAACTTGGGTAAATTTTATGTGTGTGTGGCTTTTTAATCCTTAGTTTCCTAAATTGGAATGTGAATAGCTACTTGCTGTGGCATTATTCTCTCTGTCCCACTGTCACATTCCAAATACCATAACCCCTATTGTCAGCTGGCACTTAAAAAAATAAATGAACCAGAAATTGTGTATTTATTTGGGTAAGAAGTGGTTCCAAGTAGCCAGTTCCCCATTTTCTTTTGCTTGATCTTAAGAGAGAACATGCTCCTATACAGCATTCTTCCCTGAGGTTAGATCAGACATGCCAGGAGGCCATGACCCTGCTAGTACATGGTGCTTATGGGCATGGTGAAGAAGGCCTGAGTCGCATGGTGTCACATGGTTAGGAGGTGGTATTCCAAATATACATCCTAGGCTCAGACTTGTTACTTTTTCTCTCCCTCCCATCTACCTTCTACCTGGTCCATCTCTTCCAAGTCTACACAACTAGAGTGTTTATTCCTCTTTGCTAAAGCCAAATGAATAGGAAGGATTCTAATTACTTCTTGGTTCAATTGCATTGTCTGAATGAAAAAGATAAGTCTAGAAAATAGCATATTTTCTAGCCAGATTTTTCATACTGTAATAGTTACACCTGTATACTGTGTAGCTTAAATAAAACTTCTCTAATGGAAATATGGACTTTAACTATAGATTGCAGACATTTTTGTTAATGGGTGGAAAATTCATAACATATTCTCTCAATATGTTATGAACATGCTCACCCATTTTCCCTTGTTTTCAAAGGGATTGCCCATATCCTTGTAAGGGTAAACGAAATATCTTGTGAATCAGATTCCTCCTACTTTATAGACATAAATTACTTAGGTCACAAATTAAACCCCGTAAACAATTTTGAGAAAAACATAATAGTTCCTTTTCCCTCTTCTCATTATAAACAATACATCTCATATGAGATTAAGGTTTTTGTAATGTGCATTCAGGAATTTTTCGTGGTTTGGACATTGGTGGTATGGTGATTTCTTGACTTAATGATTTAAAATGGACAAAATAAAATATACCAGTGCAAAGGAGTCCTGTTGAAAGATAGTTATAAAATATTTAATTTAAAGGGTGACATTGTGATATACACACTTGTTATTATTAAATAACAAGGTCCAGTAGTGGGTCAAAAAATGGCCATAAACCTCAATAAGAGATTGTAAGTGATGCTTCAAGGCATCTGCCCCAACTATAACCTGATATGAAGATATCTGTGATTTCCATTGGTGACAGTCACACCTGCTTTTGTTGCTACTCCTATACTACATCATAACTTATATTTAATATTAAAGGATATGCTAAATCTCTGCTGGAATTAGTGAAAATAAAGATAAAATTTATTTTTCATTCAAATCCACCATGATCCTGAATCTGTGTATCAGCTCTGGGTTCAAAAACTGTAAGAAGCTGATGAGGGAAGTGTCTGCCATGTGTTAATGTGTGGAGCCAGATGCTGGAAAAGTAAATGCGCATCACAGTCCAGCCAGGAGAGATAAGTAACTGGATAAGCTACAATGGACCTCCATTTGGCCCCAAAGAGGAGCGAGAAAAGCAGAAAAGGAAAAGTCACAGATGAATTGTGAATTCATGATAGATCGACTAGTAATAAGCCACTCCTGCCTTTCTCTCCACTGTGCGTTAAAACAAACAAAAAAACAATGACGTACATAGTTTTATATACTTGTACTATTATAAAATGTGCAACTCATATTCTGTTACATATGAACCATGTGAATGTTTCACCACATACAAAAAATTCTTTAGTTTCCAGAACAACAGCTGTATTTTTAAGTCTTAGTCATACCCAGCTCACCCAGTTTTTCTCATATCCTGCCCAGCTTAAGTTACATTAGATCTATTTGTCTGAATTTGCCAATAGAAAATGCATTATATATGACAATAACTTTTCTTTCACAGTTTTAAATATTATTTTTCTAAGGTAATTTTAAAGTTTTTTATAATTTTCTAATATCTTTTCCTTCTTTCTTTTTTTCCCTTTGGTTCAGTGTGACAAATGGTGGGAAGACAACCCTGGCTAAAAATTTGCAGAAACATTTCCCTAATTGCAGCGTCATATCACAAGATGACTTCTTTAAGGTATCTATAAGACCTAGTTTATTTTAAGCAAAAAGTTCTAGTAGTAAATTTAATTCACTACTACCTATATGTAAAGCCTTTACTAAGTGAGAACTTCTATAGTGAAGGTAGACTCAATGAAATAGTATTACTGCCCACTAGATGGCACCACTAATGGATGCAGATATTTGTTTTTATTTATCCTTATCAAAGTATTTATAATCACTCCTTCACTCTGTAATTTTATTATTTCTGCATTGCAGTTTTGATGGATACTTTATTATTTTTCTAGCCAGAGTCTGAGATAGAGACAGATAAAAATGGATTTCTGCAGTATGATGGTAAGTAGATGATTTTATAAAATATGTGCTGATATTTTCTCTTTCAAGCTGAAATAAGGTCACTATTTATGAAAACAGTCTCAAAAATGTGTTTAAACATACTTTTGTACTTTCACCCTACTTTTGTAAAGGTGGCTGACCTATGTTCAGTTACTTAAATAAGTTAAATACTCTGAATTTTATCATTGAAATTGAAAACATTGAAATAATAACAATTTTTCCTCCAAAGTTGGAGCAAGGTGAGTTTGCTGTTATTTTACAATGAGGTAAGCTTGGGGAATATCTAACTATATTCCTTTTCTCATCCCAACCCCATCTCAACCTAGAACAAAGTATTCTGGAGCTTTCTTTCCCAGACACCAAGGCACTGGATTGCTGTTTTTTCTTTTCATACTCAAAAAGATTAGTGAATGTTTTTTAGATGAATTCACCTCACTTTGCTCAGACTATTGACAGACAATATTTATTTTCCTGTAGAGAATATCACACCAATAAACTAGATTTAATGTTTTTTTTTCAACTTTTATTAATAAACAAGACCATCACTAAATGCTTGTGCAAAACAGCAGTAACAGGAACTTTCTTAGAGAGTCATAAAGTATGTTCTTTACTTTTAACATTGATAACTTTTTTTTAAAGATTTATTTATTTGTGCATACAGAACTGGGGTACAGGCCAGAAGCTCAGGGGCGGCGAGAGGCTCCACCAGAGACAGAGTGGGGAGCAGAACAGGCAGATGGACGAAGTACACTGCTGAGGGGAGAAGCTGGCAGGTCAGGAAAGGTCTGCGGTGCCATGTGGTCACCTCTCAGGCAGGCGGGAATCGAACTCATGCAGAAGTGGCTTTAGCTTCTCAGTGCTGTGCTTTAACCTGCTGTGCCACCAGGGAGGGCCCTGAGCAATTTTTTTAAGCAATGATAATTACCTAATGGTGAAAGAGAATTAATAAAACAAAAACTTTGACAACCTTTTATTGATATAAAATTGAGTATAGTTCCTGCTGATTTCAAACATGACATCTGTGCAGGTATCTCAGTTTGAGGATTCTGTCTTAAGGGAAAAATCTGGACTTCTTTAAGTGCACAAATCTAAGGTGAGTCAAGATAACATTGATATCTTTATAACTTCCAAAAGGATAGTTTTAAAACAAGTATCTAGCAACTTTATAAATGGATGAGATAATTTAAATGTGTGGCAGCCTTTTATTGGGATGAGGCTGGAGGTACATGGGTAAAAGAATTCACCAGAGACAGAATAGAGAATATAAAAAGAGGATTTAATCACAACCCTTCAAGGGAGTGGGGCAAGACAGGAGAGGTCTGCAAGGGACAAATGATTTAAGGCTCTTTTATATACTCTGTTCTCAAGGGCTTTTTTTTTTTTTTTTTTAAGATTTATTTATTTGTGCATACAGAACTGGGGTACAGGCCAGAGGCTCAGGGGCGGTGAGAGGCTTCCCCAGAGACAGAGTGGGGAACAGAACAGGCAGATTGACGAAGTACACTGCTGAAGGGAGCAGCCGGGGTTCAGGAGAGGTCTGCCACGCCATGTGGTCACCTCCAGGGCAGGCGGGAATTGAACTCATGCGGAAGCGGCTTTAGATTCTCAGTGCTGTGCTTTAACCCACCAGGGAGGGCCTCTCAAGGGCTTTTTAATGTGGGATGACAATTTGTATTAGTTATCGGCTGGGATGCTGCTCTTGGTTAGACTCTGCCCTTTGACACAAAATGCATTCTGTCCCTACTTCTGCATTCCTGGAGCTGGGCTGGTTTTTGGCTATGGTGGTCCTACTTATGGTCCGGTCTCCTTGGCAGTCTTACCTATTCAAGCCTCCTACACTTGCCTAATGGGCAAGAAGTGGGGGCTTGGTTTTTAATTTTAGTAAATGATACCCCAACAAAATATAGTTGAGAAATACAAAATAGGTCAGAAGAACTAAAAACCAAGTTTAAAATGAAGAGTTATAACAAGAGAAAGTGACAGTGAGATGCTAGATTTAAAACAAATATATAAGCAGTTTCATTTATTTAAATGAACTGAAATACTTAAAAGACTGTCAAACTGGATTTTTTAATGTCAAATAACTATATGTTCTTTATGAGATACTTAATATTAGGATATAGAAAAGTAGACAGTAACAGACTAGAAAAAAGATATTCCATGCAAAGACCTACTGGAAGAAAACTAACATAACAAATCTATTATAAAAAAAAATAAACACAAAGAATAATAGTTGCAATAATGAGACATATAGGAATCAATTTGACAAGTAAAACAATCTAAAAATCTGTATGTTTCTAGAAATATATTAAGCAAAAACTGACAAAATTAAAAAAAGAAGTAGACAAATCTACAATTATTGTGGGAGATTTTTAATACAGCTTCCTTGATAATTAGTGGAACAAGCTGACCAAAGTGATAAGTGCATTAACAAATTTGAAAAACGCAATTAATAAACTCAACCAAACATGAACCCAAGAGCAATAAAACTTTTTTTTCAAGAACACATGGAAAAATAACTGAAATGGAAAACAGATGAATAGGCCCATGAAGAAAGTCCTGTTACATGTAAGTATTATAAAATATATTCTAACTACAGAGAAGTGAAATAGAAATCAGCAACAAAAGAGTAAGTCTAAAATTCACAAATCATTTGAGAATTAATCAGTACTGTTTCCTGATTTTTTTAAATTTTATTAAAATTTTTGTTTATAATCAAAGTAGAGAAAAAGTATAATAAATTCTCTTGAGGTCACTATGTTGCTTTAAAAATGATGAAGTTTTGGCCCTCCCTGGTGGTGCAGTGGGTTAAAGCACAGCACTAAGAAGCTTAAGCCACTTCCGCATGAGAGTTAGATCTGCCCGGAGATGATCCACATAGTGAGGCAGACCTCTCTTGACTGGCCCGCTGCTCTCCTCAGCAGTGTACGTCGTCCATCTGCCTGTTCTGCTCCCCACGCTGTGTCTGGTGAATCCTCTTACCCTCCGCATCTCTGGCCTGTATCCCAGTTCTGTACGAATAAATAAATCTTTAAAAAAAAAAAAAAAAAGATGAAGTCTGGCCAATTATATTTCATTTATATTTTCACACACTTTTCTCTTGTGCTATTTTGTAGCAAATCTCCAACATCAAATTTTATATGAAGTACAATATATTTCCCTGGGTCAAAGAGTAAATCACAATGAATATTAGAAAATATTTTAAACACTTAAAATTTTAATCATTTAAAAGTTTAGTGATGATGAAAATATATTAAAACTAGTGGTTCTTCTAGTCCCAGCCAAGATAGATTGACCCATTCCTCCCTATTTCTCTTTCTTACAACTAAAAATTCTGGATGGAATACAGACAGGAGACTCTGAAAGCTGAAAGAAGATAGCAAACTGACTAGAGACTTCGGGACTTGAGGAATGACATGACTGTGAGTTCCTTGGGTTTTCTTTTTGCCTCATATATCCAGGACGGGGTACTGAGAAGTGTGCAACATGGAACCATCGGTAAAAACAGACCAAAAAAGCCCCAAGAAACCTTTTCCCTGAAGTCAAAGACCAAAACAATAGTCTAGTAGAATAGAAAATCATTTTGATAATATCCATGCTACTCTAGCCAAACACAGAAAGAAAAAAAGCAGCCGCCCTTCATGGTGTGAAGAGGGTCAAGAAGGAAGCACAACTTCTGTACCCATGTGGTATCAGCAAGGCGGAGTGAGTTGGTCTTCCACATCACCCACAGGGGTTGTGTCAGTGACACCAAATGGGACTGAACTTCCACACCCACCTGCAATGAAACACTATAAGATGTTGATAGTTGCCATTCCATTTGCCTCATCCAAGTGGTATCAGCTGCTGTCAGCAGGACCACGTGGAGAATTTCCACTCCACGAAGCAGCAGTGACCTCAAATCAGCACTCTGCTTCCACCATTGCTTATAATAAGTACCTTCATCAGAGTATCAGTGAGGCCTAGCAGGTAACTGAACATCCACCCCAATCTGGACCTGTACACTACACCTAAACAGCCTGCAAATAAACATGAGAAAATAAGATCTAGAGCCGTAACAACCCAAATTTCCAGGACAACAGTAAAATGAAAGCTGCTCATACCAAGAACCAGTCAACTCTCAATTTGAATGAAAAAAAAAAAAAGGCAATCAACAGACAATTCTACAGTGATCACACATATTGGAATTATCTGACAAGGATGTTAAAGCAGTTTTCATTAAAAAGCTTCAACAAATAACTAACGTTCTTGAATGAAGTGACAAGTTAAGAGACCAGTAAGAAATAGATGTAAAAAAGAACAAATAGAGTTTTCAAGTGAAAATATACCTGAAATCTTAAAACTCACTGGATCAGCTCGACAACAAAATATATATGACAGAGGAAAGGATCAGTGAACTTATAGACTGAAAAACAGAACGTATTTCAATTTGAACCACAGAGAGAAAGTAAACTGAAAAGAAATGAACAGAAATCTGAGACAGCACAAGGTCTAACACAACAATACTCGGGTCTAGAAGGACAGTGTGCAGCTGAAAAAGTATTCAAAGAAGTGGTGATGTAAAGTACCTTAAATGTGGCTTAAGACATAAATCTATAGGCTCAAGAATCTGAGTGATCTCCAAACAGCTTAAACAAGATTATCAAGAAAAAAGTAGAGAAGTCACAAATTTCAAATGTCAAAACCAAAAAAGGAGTGTCATTACAGATCCTACAAACAATAAAGAGATAAGTGGACATGAATAACTTTGTACAAACACATTTGAAAGCTTAAATTGGCAATTTCCTATAATTCACACAAGAACAAAGAGAAAGCATTAACAATTCTATACTAATTAAATTCATAATTAAAAAACCTTCCTCTAAAATGCCTTTAAGCCCAGATGTCCTGACATAGTAGTTCTGAAGTGGGGCTGAGAATTTGCTTTTCTCATAAGTCCCAAGTGATGCAAGTGCTGGTGGTCTAAGACTACACCGTGAGGATCACTGTTAAGAACGCTTTTCTAGAATTATAATTGTAAGCTCAAGAAATATATGTGTGTGTTTAGACTCTGAATATATTTATGTCTATTATAATTTTTTATAGTTTCCCTGTAATGTATCTGTAAAGATATAGATACGTCAATCTTTAAATATTAGCTCTTTGCCAAATGCATTGCAGAAATTTTTCCCAGTGTGCCATTGATCTTTTAATAGATATCTTATAAATATTTATAGATATCTTGTCATTCAAAAACATTGTGATTTTATATAGTCAAGAAGGAGTAGAAATTATAAATGGAGCAAAATTAGCCATGAGTTAGTTTATGGTTGTTAATGCTGGTAATGGGAACTGTATTCTACTTTCTACTTTTGTATGATTTTTAAAATTTTCCATAATACAAATGTTTCATGCATTCTGATTTGTCAGTGCTAGAATTTAAATTTATCTAAAAGATTTGCTACTAAGTATTTTGACAGATAAATGAAATAGTAGTAATATGCATTTATCAAATCCTGGATATACTCATAATAAGTTGCATCATAAGACTTTGTTGTGTTGACTTCATACTTTTGTGTGTTTGTCTTTAGTGCTTGAAGCGCTTAACATGGAAAAAATGATGTCAGCCATTTCCTGCTGGATGGACAGCCCGAGACACTCTCTGGTATCAAAAGACAGGGGAAGCAATGAGGAAACTTCCATTTTAATCATTGAAGGTTTCCTTCTCTTTAATTATAAGTAAGCATCCTCACTTGAATAATGACTCTGAACAAGTGAAGAAGACACTCTATGAGCTAAATATGCTGTTATTTTAGGCCCCTTGATACTATATGGAATAGAAGCTATTTTCTGACCATTCCTTATGAAGAATGTAAGAGGAGGAGGAGGTAAGTTTTGAAATCACCATTTTGGATTATAGTTCAAATGACAAAATTTAGGGAAAACAAGGAAAGCAACATTATTGTGTGTTATATAATTCAGTGTATATGTTACTTTTCTAACAAGCATAAATCTTTTTACACAAAAATCTTTTTTCTATCATAAATGGTCATCCATATGGAGTAACACAAATTACCTTTTTAAGAAAAGGCACTTATGCAAACTTTGGCTCACATGAAGCAATCACATATTGATTTTATATATATATACATATATATATATATATTAAGATTTATTTATTTATTCATATAGAACTGGGGTATAGGCCAGAGATGCGGAGGGTGAGAGGATACACCAGAGACAGAGTGGGGAGCAGAACAGGCAGATTGACGAAGTACACCGCTGAGGGGGGCAGCTGGCAGGTCAGGAGAGGTCTGCTTCGCCATGCGGTCTCCTCTAGGGCAGGCGGGAATTGAACTCATGCGGAAGTGGCTTTAGCTTCACAGTGCAGTGCATTAACCCGCTGCGCCACGAGGGAGGGCCCTTGATTATATTTTTTAATTAGCTGATTTTATATTCTCTTAACTCTTATTAGAAGGGAAAACTTAAATTGGGAATGATATTCAGGAACCACAAGTGATGCTTTGATTCAGAGAACTAAATTCATTTTATTATCTGTCTTTGTAATTGATCTTGAATCCAAAATAGGTAGTCTTAATCCTGTTTAGATTCAGACTGTGTGACTTTCCATTATCCTGAGCATTACTATTTTACTTTATCAATGTGTGCTTCTATTAACATAAAGCTTCCTACATGTTTTGGACAGTACAAGAGTCTATGAGCCTCCAGACCCCCCAGGCTACTTTGATGGCCATGTGTGGCCCATGTATCTGAAGCACAGACGGGAAATGGAGGACGTCACATGGGACATCAGTGAGTGCCTTCTCTCCCTCCATGAAAGGCTTTTTTTTGGATGACAGCCTCAGAGTACACTGCCTCAGAGGGCCTTAGGAGGCATTTTCCTCATGTATTAGATTATAAAAGAACTCTAAGCTTGAACACTCTCCTACAGCTGGCTCTCCTCGTTTCTCCTTGTTTTTATGGCTCTTGTCCAGAGCTTGTCAACTTCTACAGGGTCAGGCATTCAAACCTTATTGAATGCCTTTCATGTGCAAGGTCCTGCAGTAGTGATGCCAAGGCACATGAGACAGACTCAATCCTTAGCTGTATAGAACCAATATTCTGTTGTCTGTTAACATATATTAAACATGCTGACTGCACAAGCGTGCACTTTCTAGCCAGGGGGACTGCCCAGGTCCCAGTAAATTGACAAGGTGAGTGAGCCATATTTCATGTACACTCTGACAGGTGTAACTGGATAAAGGGGGATAAAAAGAGTGGAGGTGTGGGGATAGAAGATGACCCTAGACAGTGGGTAGTGGGTATGGCACATTGAATGGCTAGAGGCCAGGTAGGAATGAGCAGCATCTGAAAGAAGGTTGATGGGTCTGTGGTAGAGAAACCAAGAGTAAAAGTGATGCTGGGCTACAGCAAGGACCTGGGTCATTATTTGAAGAGAATATGGAAGCTCTCTACAGAGTGGTTTTAGACAAGGAAATCTTGTCTAAAAGACAAATTCCTATTTTAAGAAGATCTAACTCTCTGGAGGTGTGACAGTAGATGTATACATTCAATAGAACTGGCAAATAGAATAGACATGAAGAGTGAGGGAAAATGAGGTATTCAGGACAATACCTGGGAAGCCAACAGGTTTTTCTGAAAAAAGAGAAAAGTAAGGGGATTACACATTTGTAAGGGAAATGTGCAACCTGTTTTACACATGAGATTGGATGCCTGAGAGATATAAAGCAATAATTTGGGAGTAGACATCTAGAATATGGGCCTGGACTAAGAATATTTTACTGAGATATAGAGCTCAACAATGAAGATACAGGAAGCTGGAGAGAGAAGGCTGTTGAATGGGGCACAGGAATCACAACAGATGTATATTTATCATAATAAAGGGAGTTCCCACGTCTCATGACCTCCAGACTGGCTGTCAGAACCATGCAAAAACCCTTAAAGGCCTCCCCGTGCTATGGCACCCACTACAATGTCTTTAATCCTGTTCCACCTACCTCTCTACCCCTGAAGCTGCTACTGAGGTCTGTCCACATCACTTACAGCTTGGACCATGGTTATAAATATAGCCTCTTCTTACTGTCCCTGCCTTGCTGAAATACCTTCAGAGTCTCCAGCTTCTGAGATAAGGTCCCCACACCAGACATCAAGTTTGTAAAATCGAAGGCACAAATCTTATTCTCAAATCTTTATACTATTTCTGCCTCTCCACCTCATAGCCTTTGCAAACTCTGCATCTTTTTTTAACTGGTAGAATTCTCTCTGCCAATTTTCTAACTACAAGTCCCTTTCCTTCTGTTAACCTAGATAACTTCTACTTTCTCTCCAAAACTGTGTTTTGGTAAAAATACACATTTCCTGTGTGTGGAAAATTCTGATTCAGCACAGATACATACAGCAGGTCCATACTGCTGCATGGTTTAAGAAACTTCACAGGTCATCCTTGTGCTGTTTTTTTCTTTAAAAATAATTTTTAATGGGTGATTGCATGATGGGAAGCCCATGGGGATTACAACTGAGATGGGAAAAGGCCACAAAATGATGTAAAAATAAACTATTATATTATTTTAAATAATCATTATAATAATTTTTATATCAGATAGTGTACACTCTCTATATAAACCCATATTATTTACCTTTTCTCCCTGACTGTAATCTTTTTCTCTCTTTAATGGCATAAATTTCTTTTTAATATATGGTCCTGAGTTCTTTGACTAAGACTGTCTGCATTCTCTAGCAATGTCAGGTGCCAGAGTAAGCATCCTGCATTAATAAGCCTTTTTGCATTTGTAACTGTTCCCTTCTCCTCATCTCAGTTTACCTAGATGGAACAAAATCTGAGGAGGACCTCTTTTCACAAGTGTATGAAGATCTAATACAAGAATTGGCAAAACAAAAATGTAAGTATTGTTCTATTGAAGTGGATGATGAAGGAATAGCCAGGAAACTCATCCATTGCATCCCTGAGAGTAGCATTCACTCATTGCTTAGAAGATAATTCAGACTCAATGACTCTGGCCTTGGGGCTTTGATTATTTTGTTGATGAGGCTTTTTTTTTTTTTTTTTATTAAAAAGTTTATTTTTACATCATTTTGCACATTTTTTTTTTCATCTCAATTGTAATCCCC